AACTTGTAAAAACGTAAACTCATTTTAGCTTCCTGAAATTTATTCAGCTTGAATATGACATAAAATGAAAATTTGAGTAACTTTAGCTTAAGTTTTACTTTTTTGGATCATTTGATAATTTTTTAAATTCGAGGTGACGGAATGGCATTCTTCACCGATTCACAAGATTTGATACAATTTGTCAATTGTTATTTGCGGTTTGTTTCAGTAAAAGTAGACCCAATATTGTTCAAATCTATCGTCTATGACGAATCAAAGCTAACCCTTGATATGATCATAGAGGACAACTCCCAAAACCGCTCCCGTAAGTACTCATAAGTGACAACGCGGACTAAGCTTCAAATGAGACAGCTCCTGCTGAACGAAACCCACTAGTTTGCAAAATCTGTAAAAATCCCATTGATCGAGAAATTTATTTGTAAATGTTGGGAATTAGGGCCCCCTTAGGTTGGTTTTTGTTTGATTTTTCTTGCGTAAGGGACATTGCATTGAGCTTGAGAGGCGGAAGGAAAATAAGTGAGTTTTTGTTTTGGATAAGATTGAATTGTTACTATGTTGTTACTCTGTTTACTTGAACCCACTGAGAAGTTGCAACATCTCCATAGCACTCGCCCCACCTAAAACAATGTTCTGTCGTAAGACAACGCAAGGGTTTATCTTTCGGTATTTTTTCTTTGTGGTCAAATCACTTTAAATAATTTCCTTTTGATTTACATCTACATTTTCGCATCAGTTCTTTTTGTTGTACACTTGTAGTTGGCGTTGCGCTCCTTAAGTTATCGGCGATTGAGCACTGACGTTTTTCCATCTAGGCAATTTCGTTCAATGAAGTAACGGAAGTTTTTGCAACAAGATACGAACTGTTTACATAAACCGCTCGCTTCAGGTTTTTATACTTTTCTGCACATTAGAACCAAATATATTCCACCTTAACATTTGACAAATCTCAAATCGGTAAGAAAAACTAAGCAGATAAAAACAATTCTATAATTTTGAGCTCAAGGCTTTTTAGAAGGCATGGAATTTCCGTTTGAAACTTTTTAATGACAAATCGAAACTCGTTGGTAGAAAAAAATTACTGAAATTATTAATTCATTTGAAATTTTGAATTGATTTTTTTCGAATATTTATGCTTGGGGTGTTTATGCTTATTCAGTCAAGTTTGGGCGAGCGAAACTACAGTTCTTAACAATAGTTCTTTTTTACCTCAAGAAGGACTCCTTAAAATCATGATTAAAAGATATTACACCTCCGATCTTTTTTTCAAAGTTCTGGCGGTTTTAAAATTGCCAATTAGACCATGCTCTGGACTAAGTTATGTGCGCTGTGTAGATTTTTTGCATAATACTTAAAACCGAACGCTGACTAATAATGCACGACGATTTATCCCGCACAACAAAATCGTTTTAAATTAAATTGAGGCCAACTAATCTAATTGGTCGTCTTCATTTTTTTATATTTCTAAATACAGTTGTGTGAGTTGCTGGTAGTAAATGATCGCAGGCAAAAATTTAGGTTGTCATTTTAGGGTTGAAGTTTGCTTGTTTTGCTTGCTGCCTATTTTTGGTTAATTCGGCCCTATTTCAATTCCACATGGTTGTACTGAACCAGTAGAACCCTTCAGATTAGAAACAGTTGATTTCAAAACTCGAAGCATTTTTTCTTTCATTTGAAGGATATTTTAGGTTGAGCTTAAAAAACAAAAAAGTTTTCCTTGAAAACAATTTTCTGATAAAACTATAAGGACTTGAGATTTGGGAACTTGCCAAGTTGAAATAATCGCCTTATGATCAGTTTGATGTGCTGTTTTATAAATCAGCTGAAAAGTTGTTGCTTGTTAAATTGTAACAGAGAATATTTTTAAGTTCTTTCAAAAAAATTTACAAGGGCAACTGTTACAATTGATTCTTCTCGTGTGCTAAATATCCATTTTTTGTCGGAAGATTGTGAAATTACTAATGCAAAAAAGATATGGAAAAAATTTTAAAAAAAAATTTGAATCCAGTTGATTGTACATTCATACAATTTTTTTTACTGTTTCTAAGTTGCCTGATTTATTGTCTGCCTTGACTTCAAAGTTTGCATAGCGTGTTGAGAACTATTTCAAAGAAGTTAAAGAGCAAAAGAAACACAGATACGAGCAAAAAGTTTTTCTTTTTTTTTCCTTTTTTCATATTCGAAAATATAGTTAACTAATCGGAAAAATTTAAGATAAAATTTATTTCACACGTTTTGTTGTATTTGACTTACCTCCAACCACAATGTCACTCCGTTCGATGCTCCTGAAACAGCAACAAATTTGATTTAACTTCAATTCTTTTTAACTACCAAGGACTAAAAAAAGAACTAAGCAATCACGCGATAAGGAGCCAGTTTAACAAACTATTGCATTTTGAAAAACAGGATTTCATTTTTGATTTTCTTGAATAAAAGTTCAAAACTCATCAAATTGAATCAGATTTAAAACAAATTTTATGTGGAAATCAATAAAAACAGGACTAAAGATATGTTAAGAAAATTATATGACGAACATAACAAATCTGATTTTCAGCACAAAAAATGCAATGAAAACTTAAAAGCCAGATTTTTTGGCCAAAGTTATAATATACAAGTTAAATAAAACAACAAAATTATTGAGAGTTGGAAATCAAATCGCAATGTTTTCAAAGCAGCTTCAAGCTCTCAGCGTTTTCTGCGCTTAAACTTAAGCTTGCATCATTTTAGTATCAATATTTAGAGCCATAAGCTTCGTTACAAAGATCTTCAATCAAAGTGAAAGTTTCCTTACTTTAACTGCAAAAAAATTATAGATAAGATTTTATCAAAACATACAAAGTGAGAAAGATTGGCCGAAACCAAAACATATAAACTGCGAGAAACACTGGCTTAAAACCAATGAAATGGTACTATTAGAACTTAAACAAGTCAACTTTACGACGGTCTTTTTTTGAAAAAGTAAGTCATATGCGCTTCAAAAAAATTAATCTTTAAGCAATACAAGTTTTGAAAAAAAGTCGAGTAACCCTGAAACTGGATACACAGATGGGCTCCTATCATGGACCGTCGTATGAAAAAGGGTCCTTTTGGCCATACGACGGTCTATGATAATTGTTCATCCGTGTATTTAGGCTCAAGGTATCAGTATCATATTTTAATCAATTTGAGACAATTTTGGCCCATTTTTTGAATTTTTTGAGGTCAATAAAAATTAACATGCTGTAGGTTACGTCAATAACACTCTCTAAATAAGAACGCTGAAAAGGCGCAAAAAACGTGAAAGACTTCTGGTTTCGAAAGTTGAACTGGATTTATAGATTTCCCAGCGGAAAAAACCTTACCTTTTGATTCAGTTTTCTCAAATTGGGTGTTAGTTTAATCAAAAAAGCAGCTATCATAAATTGCTCTTGAAATTCTTAACATGAAAAAAAAAACATTTTAAACCTATCCAAAGTTCGGTGTGTATCAGTTGCTGAATTGGCGGATTAAGGAATAAAGATTGGCTGACCACTCTGTGAGTTTGCTCATGAGAATCATGAATGCCATGGTGAGGAACTGCATGGCGAGCAGAGTGAGCATCAAGTAGGTCGTCTGGTTCTTCTGCTTCCGGTCCACCGCCTGCTCCTCCGTCTCCACCACGTCATCCAGAGTCTGCGTCTCATATGTCACTTTAGGCCTCTTCCCCATTCTACCCCGCGCTGTCCCCAATCAAGATATACCCCGGATCTCTCTATCAATTCCCCCTTCCCTACCGTATCTAGCATCTAGCAATTAAATCACACGCACCCGCGAGGAATCTTAACAAACAAATATGTTGGACCAAAAATGTTTTGCCCAGGGATGGGTCCGGAAAAACCTAAGTTAAAATCTGTTAGATTGAAATATTGTAAGCAGGGGCAGAGTTGCCATAGAGATCCAGTAAATATCTTCCACAGAAGTAAAAAAAAATTTGAATAATTTTTGAACTAGAAATGTAATATTTTTTACCACGTTTTTGCTGCAATTATTTGTTATAACTGCAAAAAAAACGGATAAGATAACATGCGCTTCCAATAAGCAAGTTTTTCTTGATAAACTATTTGAAAAAAACAGTCAGTAACTTGATTAGAAACGTTTAAATTTTCTCATCTTAGATAAATGAAGCAACCGAAAATTAATTGAAAAAGAACAATATAAATGATTTTACCTTTCACAGGGAGGCAAATATTGATGTTTGAAGTATGAAAACTATTTTTAGAAGATCCAATTAAAGCTTTGTACGAGTGAAAAAAGTAAGTTTTAAGCAATCAGGCAGCTTTGAGAGTTTCAATGCTGTTCTGCGATGGAATTTATAAATGAACTTCATTAGAACGAGCTTTGCTGAAAAGAACCGATAAAATCTTTCCTACATAAAAGCATACGGTTTTCAGAATTTTCTTACCTATTTCTTGCGTGGCTGTTTTGTAGGCTCTCTGAGTAATGACCTTATAAAGAAAACACTTCACAGAGTATCGATTTAATCTTTTAAAAGTTCAGAAATGTTGTAGTTTGTGAAGTTACTTTTTTTCCAAAAATGTTTACAAAGGCTATTTAGATAATACTGCTCAGTGTTCTCAGCGCTCATTTTACTTGTTCAGTGTTCTCAGCGCCAGTTTAAATTTTTTGGTTATTTTTTTAGAACCTATCCCGATAACCTAATCGTTTTGCTGCCGTTTTCTCACTCTTAAATTAACTTCGGAATTCTATAAATTTTTGGTTCTGTTGTCAAGTATGTGATTGTTCTGCTTTTAGCATTTGCTCAGTAAATTTTTACTGTTTTTGCTGTGAGACTTGGATGTGTCACCTTTCATAAACATCCGTTTGAGATTTTTTGTAATTTTATCAAACAGCTGGTGGTTTTCACCAACCAAAGTACATTCGAAAGATATGATGAAAAGACCAATAGACCAATAATTGATTTTGATCATACAGCACTGATTTCATCTGAGTGGACTGACTCCAGTTTATACATGCGTTATTTCTGTTTGTTTGACTCTTCATTTCTTATCAATAAAGGTCAATAAACGTAGTGAAGACATTTATTTAGGTCGAGTTGATTATCTTTTAGGAAAATTCTTCAAAAAATTGTTCACATCAAACTTAACCTTTTGCGGCTGGACATATGAACTTTTTTTGGGTTCAATTCAATTCCTTTTGCTTAATGGAAACAAATTACACTTTATAATCTACGAAAGCAGATTTTGCGTTTTAAAAATGCGAGGAATTTCAACACGCAGCTAAGTTTAGACGTAAGCAATCGATTATAATGGATTATTTTGCTGATTTTGACAAATATAATTGATTATAACTACCAAAAATAGTTGTTTACCATATTTTGATTATATCCTATGTATAATTATTATTCTGTCAATAACAAAATCTCTAAAAATAACATTATAATAATGTGGTTCCTGCGAATCGCAGAGGAGCTATCAGTAGGCCTTAACAGTCCTGTCGAAGGTTAATCCATTTGTATTGTTTCCACACATTCCAGACTGCGTTATTTTGTTGAGCGAAGATTTTTGTGCAACTCAAAGCCGTTTTTTGCACCTAGAACTTATTGCACGTGGTACAAATATTGCAGCCATAATTTCTACCATCAGGCTGTGGAAGACTTGAAGCTAGACGTCAAGTGAGAGCTCGTCCTCACACACTATCCTTGCCAAAAATGAGATGCTCTTTCACACTTTGATTTATATGAACACAAAGTCTTACCAGAAACAAAAATTTTATAGAGATCCTTGCATATTTGTTGAAAAGCTCCTGCAGTAGGTAAAACATGAATCTTCCAAATAAACCATGAAACTAGAGAAAATATAATTGTATCGAATTATAGGTGGATTAATAATAGCTTATAATCGATTAAATTGTAATGCATTTGATCATACTTTCAAAAACAGAGATTATAATCGATTAATAATTGATTAAAATCAATGTTTTTTAGTTTTAGTAAAAGTGTTACTAAAATCCTAATATAATAAATTATTAACGCTTGAAACTGGATGCGAGTAGTTTCAACAGCGAGTTTTGTTTATTTAGTTGACTTCTCACTCAGTTTTCTCAAATTGGATGATTAATTATATTTAAAAAAAATTGTTAATTTTATATCATTCTAGAAAGCCAAAGAGTTTCAAAGCCAAACTTTTTCAATTTCAACTTCAAATTTTTTTTTTTACAAACTCAGTCAGTTGTTACTGTTTCCTTCGTGTTCAACGATACTTTCACAGTTTTCTTTTGGCCATGTTTTCAACTCCTAATAGCAGCCTAAACAACGTATTTGAAAATAAGTTTAGCCAATTCAATTACTAAATTGTTTTTCAAAAGTTTAAACAAAATAGCTTGTAAAAAAATTCGCGTTTTTATTAAATAACCGAACAGCCCATTTTTTCAGAATGGTTGGCTATGACAGGTTTTTCTGTTCCATGTAGAGAACTTCTTTTGGGTTGACCTTGTCTGGGAATGGCGTGGAGATTGTGCGTGGAGGGGATGCCTGGTTACTCGGATCTGTACGTATACTTGAACATCGAGGTGGTCATTGTTCTAGTTCAATGAAGTCCTTTTCTGCGAAGTCAAGTCGTACTCTAAATCCTTTGAGTTGTGATTGTGGGCGGCATATTGATTGTGGTTGGCCATTCTTTTTCGATTGTAGTGGGGTCATTTTGTCTTTGGATGTTCGTCTTTGGTGTTGTATGCTGATCTATATACTGCAAGGTATAATTTACATTTTATAAAATTTTTATTAGTTTAGTGTTTTTAGTTATGATTTTGGTTAGTTGTTTTCACAAAAGCTTTCTGTTTTAGTTCAGGTATTTTGAAGAGTTACTCACCCTTGAGTACCTCTTATTAAAAATAGGAGTGTGGTCACAAAGCGTGGATGTAGCGCGGTGGGTTAGGCCGGCTATAGAGCATGCTCAGGACGTCCTCTCTGGTGGGTTAGGCCAGGAGTGGGAGTATGATTTCGTGCGGTTTCTGTGAGAGGTCCTGTTATGTGATAACGTTTTATGTTGGGTTTATTGTGGTTTTTCTTATGTTTCGTTGGTTGTGTCCTTTTTTCAAAAATCAAATTGTTTTTGGTATGGGTTTGTCTTTCGACTTTTTTGTGTTTTATTATTTCTTTCTTTGACTTTATAATAGTCTTCAAAAGAATAAATTATCCAGTTTTAAACTGGGTTAATCCGGTTTGGGTACCGTTGGTTTCCTTTTCTTAGTCATGCTGTTATTCTATGTGTTGTGTTGTTTAGTAAGCTGCGTTGATTAGTTTTGTTTAGTATATAATTCCTTTCCAACCGGGTTAAAGCAAAGTTTGAATTTTGTTATCGTGTGTTAGAGTTGTTGAGTGTGAAAGCTTGAAACTGAAATTCATTATTTAAACAATTCTTCGTGGGCGAGCTGTGCGAGTTTGGATAGAATTTTTGTGCGAGTGAATGAAAATATCAAAAGGTTAGTACTGCATTTGCGTTTTATTAATTTACTACATAGAGTTTCAATTTTATTGCTTGTTTTGGGGAAAAATTAAGTTACAAATTTTCATCATTATTAGAATTACTGCTTTTAGGGAAATAATTTATAAATTAGTTTATTACATTTGTATGAATTTTATTTAATTTAGCTGGTGCAAAAGATTATTAGAGTTTTGAACAATTTGAAGAAGTTTTCTATTTTTTATTTTTTCTTTTGTGTATTTTGCAGATGATCGTGAGATGAGGACTAAAAATCTAAATAAAACATGGATAAAGAATGGTTAGTGTTTTATTTTTAATTTTATTAGTATATTTATAAATTATACTTACCTGTTAGTCGTCGGGGAAAAAACCTTGGGGGAAGATGTCGTGGATTATGTCGGAGTTTGTTGGTAACTTTGCTAATATGCGAATGATGTTTTTAGTTTGAAGCAGTGGCCAAAGCAATTGAAGTGCTTTCATGGTTTTTAGTTCTTCAGTGCCAACTGCAAAATCATAAGGTGTGTTTTGGATGAGATTATATAATTTGTGGTTATATTTAGTGTTGTGGATGAATTCTAATATAGGGATTTCTATAGGTTGAACAAATTCATGTGGGATAAGGAAGGGTCTGGATTCTTCTGCGTTGAAGGTCTTTGTGATGGGACAAAAAATATACATTTGGGTTATGGGATCATAATTGCGAAGAATACCGTGAAGGTTAGTATCTTTGATGCAATATGTGAAGTTAAGAAAAAATGGTGATGTGTATTTAGAGTTAATAAATTGAAAACGATGGTGTGGTTGTCTTGATGGAGTGTGTAGTTCAAAGTGATTTTGTATAAAGCGGTAATATGTATATGTGTGGGTTTGTTTAGTGCGTAACATAATGTCATGTGAGCAGTGCAAATCTCTTTCATGTGGTGCAAGGAAATGAAAGGTTAGTGAAAATAATTGAAATCTTTCTTTAAAACTTTCGTAAGCTTGTGTGTCGGTTAGTGCTTCAGAAATGATGTGGTCGAATTTGCGATCAAATATGTTGAGTGTGAAAACATATAAACATATGGTGTTTTGATGAAAAATTTTTCTGTGATTTGTGGGTTAGCGAAGCGATCATCATCTAAAAATTGGTCTTGGTTAGTTCGGATGATATTATGATCGTAATATTCTAGCGTATATACGTTAGCTCGGGGTGCAGTGTATGTTTTTAGTGATTTTTTATATCCAATGTAAGTAAATTGTCTATGTGTTAGTGGTGTAGTTAGTCGATATAGCATATCTTGATTTCGTTCTATATCGATGTGAGTATTAGATAAAGGTAGGCAAAGGGGGTTAGTAAAATGATAATATGATGTCCAATGAAGTGTAGGCATTAAAACTTGTTCATCTACAAAGCTACGTGTATCGTTAGTATCTGTAGGGGTGTTCAAAGTATATTGTGGAAATGAAGGTAAGGTGATTGCTAAAAATTCTTTCGTGTTAGTGTGATTTGGATGATTGATATATTCACGTGCTGTTCCTGGTTTTGTTGGAAATGGATGGTTTGGGAATTTTCTTTTGAAAGTGCGGTAAGCTCTATTAGTGCTAAGTGATGATTCGGTGGATGTAGATGATGGTGCTAATGATGCGGTATAAGCTGAAGAGGGTGTAGGGGTAGGTGGGTTTGATGATTCTATTGTGGATGAAATTTGATTTATAGTGGGATTTTCAAGGTGGAAGGGTTGTTGTTGTAGGGTGATAAAATTAGCTAGTTCTTGGGAGATTTGGGGGGTGTCTGGAGAATTGGATGATCGATCTGAATGAAGTGAAGAGTAGGTTGGGGTAACTTGTGAAGCATAGGAGGGTGTAGAAATGGATGGGAGCGGGTTATATGGTGGGATTGGTTGAAAAGGGGGTTTCGAAAAAACTGAGGGATTGGTTTGAAAATTATTGGATGGAGATGGTTCAGAGTCTGCAAATTCGTCAGGGGTTTCAATATCTGGGTTATTGAGTTGTGAGATGGAGTATAAAACTGAGATGTGTGAATTAGTGTCTGAATTCATGCCTGATGTTATATTATTGGTTGGGAAATCGGGTGGTGGGAAGGCAAAAAGTGGAATTATTGTAATTGGAGTGTTGAGGTTGGTTGGGTGTGAATTTGAGCGGTGTAGGGATCCAAGTTGTCGGCTCATCGTGGGCTAAAAAAATTATTATTTTGAGACTGAAAAGCGGTGGTATGGGGTTGTTCTATAATTTGTTCATAAGTATTTTCATCTTGTGAGTGGCGTGTCATTATATGTTGGATGGGACTTTGTGATATGGTTGGTCTAAAATTTGGGTTATGTGTTATTGCTAAGTTTCGAAAATTTCGTGGGACTAGTGATAATGGATGGTTATGTGGTAGTGGTGGTAACTGTGGTGCTGTAGGCGTAATGTCTACATTGTTATGTTCTTCGTCGTATGTGTTCTGTCTTGTTGCTATTTTTGTGTTGTATTCTTTTATTTGTGCGTCTAAAAGAATTTTGTTTATTGATGATGAAAAAATTCCAAAAAATCCTGCAAATAGTATGCGTGCTACACTTGCTTGTCTATTTACTTGTGTGTGTATAGCGCATGTATTATAGATTCCTTTTAAAAGCGAAAAAAGAAATCCTATAAAGTTAAACATTGCGTATAAAATAGTCAATTTTTCTAAGATGTAGTAGGGCCATCCTAGAAAATCGAGAATTTCATTTTTTAGTGTAACAAAGCTAAAAATATTTATAGGTGAAATAACTTGTGGTCGGTATTTTTCACCGTTTAGATATATATAGTCTTTAATGTCTTTAAAA